ATAAAATAAAATTATACAAAATAAGCAATTAGGCTGTGTATACAAACAAATAAAATATTGTCGTTCCAACATGCAAAAGCGGGATTAAGTATGCGCAAAATCACCACAAAATCTTTTTAAGGCGACATATGACACATTATAAAATTTATCTATAAAATAAAAGATACCACCTTAAAACTTACTAAAGATATAATAATTACATAATTGCACGTATTTAAAAAAAATGAATTAAGGCAGTACACAATATTAAGAATGTAAGCTTGTAATATGTTTATCCTACTTAAAACATTTTCAGGATCAAAAACTTCTTTTGTAACCCAAATATCTACGACATTATGACTCTATCTCAATCTATGAAAGTTGTTTTCTGTCTATTTTTTGTACCTCAGGTTTATATATAAAAATGTGTTAACTGAGTGTTGAGCAAACTAGGTAAAAAATATCCAACTTACAAATTTACCAATCCTACTTTTTAAATGGTTACAACAACATTTCTGTCCCATTCTTTTATAAAATGTGTCACTTGCTGAAACGAGAACTGACGAGAAGCGAACATAGACGAGGATCAAGAACAGGAGAACAGAGACCAGGACCGATAACAGAAAAACAGAAACGGGGACCAATAGCAGAAGCACTGACAACAAGACAACAGAGACAAAGATTGATAACACAAAAATAGAGACGATGACCGTTGACAGAAGAATTGCCAATAAGACTTATTACAGAAGAAAAGAGACGAGAACCGATGATAGGGGAACGGACAAGAACGAAGACGGGAACCGATAACAGAACAGGACAGGGACCGATAACAGAAGAACTGTCAACAAGACAACGGATACAGAAAAATAGAGATCAGGACCGATAACAAAATAACATAACAAGGACTGACTTCCAGAAGAATGGAGACGGGTCTTGGTAACAGAGACGGGAACCGATGACAGAATAATTCACAACAAGAAAACGGACACCAGAACTGATTACAGAAGTATAGAGACGAGAACCGATAACAGAAAAACAGAGACGAGGACCGATAACAAAACATCTAACAACAAAAGAACTGATACCAGAACCGATTACAGAAGAACGAAGATCACGACCAATAACAGAAGAACTGACCACAAGAGAATTGCGACCAGGACGACCAATTACAGAAGAACGAAGATCACGACCAATAACAGAAGAACTAACAGCAGAGAAATGCGACGAGAACCGATAACAGAAAAATGAACACCAAAACCAAAGAATACTCAGAGAAAGGTGCTTTTAATTAATTTATATTGTGCATGCACACGTTTTCACCCAGTCACACATACGCACGCTGGGCCATTTGAGTAGCCACTCTATATGCTTGCATAGAGTGCCAGATAATATACATGAAAGCTCTATATCTAGCAGATAGGGCAGGAAAGAGTGTAGTGTTCGCTGCGTAAACGCTAAATATGTTTAAATGCATTAAGATTATCAGTACTATCTTTAATACTTCTATATTACTATTATATTGGCCTGTAGAAAAATGTCCGCCATCTTGGAGTTTTCGGCCATATGGGATTGTTTTGTTTTTTAAATTCTGTTTTGGTGTCTAATTTGTTATTACCTAAACATGCTTTGTGACAAATTTCAGGTTTTTCCTTTCCTTAAAAGTTTTATTTGATATGTCATCCATTTATGATAAAGAAATTTGGCGGCCTTTTAGTGGTCATTTTAAATGGCCATTTCAATGGTCAAGATCAACTTTTTCAATTTGGTATCCACCTTTATCGGATTCAGCATACCTTAAATAGGTGAAATACTCCAAGATACCACTTGTACTACAAAATGCCTCTAGCATCTTATAGAGAGTCAAATTCTCAAAATCATTCCTGTCTAAATTGCAACACGTTAAATATCTAATTTGGTAATTTGTATTGGCTATATTGACTTTACGCATCAAAGTGAAGTGTTCATAGTTACGTTAAACATATGCGTTTCCATTGTTGATTTATATGAGCTAAATTAAAATACGTCAAAATATGATATACCGCTTTACCCTTTCCATCAGTCTTCGGATAAGGACCTCGAACACGCAGAACGGATATACGGTATTTCGGTCTAACCTACGCTAAGAAACTAAATATGTTAATTTGAGTGATTGACCATTTTTTGCCCCAATATATCAAGTAAATGTTCGCCTAAAATAAGTAAAATTATGGATATCAAAGTAAACAGTATAATCATTTATATACGTACTATTATGGTTGTAGAAACATAAAGTACAAAAATGCCGACCTACTTACATTAAGTCGGATTTGTTTATAATAGTATATTTAAATACAAAAAAGTTGTAAGACATATCCTAAATCATGATTGTACCGTAACAGACTTATTTTTTCTTTGTATGTCAAACATGTACATTCGTTTTTCATTTTCAACGTCAACGATTACACTGTCTGCTTCTGTTTACATATGAAACTTCTTTCCCGAGGTTATAATTATGTTCCAATTGCCGCTTCTGTCGTGAAACAAGAATACTACACGTGTTAGAAACTTTACAATCCTCAAATAATGTCACATGTATGATAATATATCTCGGAATCATCCAGTTTTAACTATCGTTCTTCTCACCGATCAAACCAACCAGAAAAAACATCATCGAATCGCACTTACATTGCCAACAATTTGAGGAAGAATATTCGATATTGGCGAAATGATTCTTTATAAGGGCAATGATATTCTCCATATTAAACATGAATGTTTTGCTTACTCATTTTCATTAACAGTACAAGAGGTGAACAATTCGTTCAATAAGAGCCTGTTAAACTCACAGGATCAGCTTTCTCAAGAAACCGACCGCACATATTGTGCCATGTATCTTTCGCTTGGGCTCATTTAAGTGAACCCACGTCTCATCGCTAGTTATGATATTTGCGTAAGATCGATTGTTGTATTTAGGGTACTGTTTCAACAATTGTTTGGAGATTCTTACCCGGGCAAATTTTTGCTCTTTTGTAAGAAGATGGGGTATCCAACTGCCACTTAAGTTCATTGTTCCCATAAACACGACGACATATTTCATTTAATATGTCATTCGTCTGTATACCAAGAATACAGCGGTTCTTGATATAGGACCTTATTTGGTCAGTGAAAGGCGACCTTTTCCCAACCATTTTAGCTTTAGTATACACGAATAGATAGCGTTAATCGAGCTATTGTCAAAGCTAGACTGAACTGATTAAAATAAACATAATCCCATTGCATTATTTGAAAGAAAACAACATAATTATATTCAACATTTCGCTATTATTTCGATCGATTAAAAATTTGTGTTTCTATTGGAACATCATTACGTTAAAGAAGACCATAGACCTCTCAAAATGATCTAATATAATTTCATAAATATATGACATAAAATGCACTCAAAATTCATTTTGTTTTAATTTTGATTTGATTAACGGATTATTGCCATCTAAATTTGAAAAATACATGATACAATAATTTGAACATAAATACAATGTAGTTAAACAACGAACATTACTTGGTATATATGTACATTATAGTAATTGTTTTGTAAGTATTTAAAAACGACCTTAGGATTAAATTACAAAATTAACGCTTAAACGCGCAACAGAATAGTGACTGGTTTTAAATGGGAACGATTTCCTTCCAATGACTTGTGTAACATGACGGTCACCGCAATTCTGTAAAGAAGATTTAAGCGGACAAATAACGCCGTCCAAATTTCGATCCACGTCGTTGTTAAGGTGCCTCATTTGTTTAGATATGCTTGTTTGTGCTTTGTGTAAGGAGATAATGATACCATTTTACACGATTCCCACTTATCAGAGGACAAAAAAAGACACACGCCTCCGTATTATTTGTACACATCTGGCTCGGCTTAAAGTCGGTGGAAGTTTCAGATGACATGACAACTGCTCTGATTTATTGTTGAGGAGTATAAGAACCATTATTAGTGACTGCCAAGACAAAACCCACACTACAAACATATAATCAAAATATATGTAAACTAAATACGTTCTCTAACGAAAATGTCTTTGTCGTAATACAAAGATGGATAAGGAAATGCATCTATAAATTCCCGACCTGACTCGGAGTCAAACTTGTGACCAATAGGTCCCAATTTTACCATCTAAATTTCTGATTAAACCGACACTAGTTGGCATGGACGACAGCTTGATAATAACATTACCGTTCATGAACAAACTCAATCAAATCAAGTCTGCGTCATTTTCATTTCTGCCGCTTTGGGCGTTCTATAGGGATTATGTGTGTCTTTATTTTTATATGTACAATCAAATAAAAACAAGCCTTTGACTTCTTACCTATAGCATCGTCAGAGGTTGATTTGACAGTGATGGAGGTAGGTTTTCACTCATGAATATGTAACAGTATAGTAGGTTACCAAACAATATCTTTACCGACAAACATTATTTACTATAATTCTATATCTTGAACTCGTCATTTTTACACAAACAATTCCAAATAAATAATTATATTTTAAATACAATTACAAAACTATTACCGATTATATATTTTGTTCAGTTAGAATCATTAATATAAAGTTTCTTCATATTATTAATCGTTTATGAAATGAAATGTTAAAAATAATCAACAAAAATGCATTTTGTAGTAATTGAACATATATTTTTCTGCGCGACTGTTTTGTAGAAATATGTTGATAACTTTATATTTCAGTAGTTAAAATAATAAACACACAGTGATTTAAGTGTTTCAGTGTGCTATGCATTTAATTATTTTGGCACTAGTGACCAAATATCACTAATAAGGTTAGCTAACTTAAATAATCAGTCCAAAGTATGACGATCATAAGAGTGCGACATATCAGTACGGTAAAATGTAGATTTTTTGGCACTAAAATATGTTCAGATTCCTCTTAGTATTATAATAACTTGTAATCCAGTTGAAAGTAAGTTAAGCCTATTATATATGACAGATTGGCCTTAAAAGAGTTTCAAGGTAAGGACAATTTAATTATATACCAATAGTCAGTCACACACACAAGGCGCACGGAGTTACATTTCCGCTGGTAGTATATCTTTATTATATCTTTGTCTTTCTTATTATAGAAACTTTAATATATTCTTCGTTAATATCTCTTACTTTGTATTACAGAGCAAATACATATATCCATGCAATTTGAATACTTAAACTTTATATATTTAGAAAAAAAATAACAATACAATTTACATGTATGTCCAATTACACAATCTTTTATTATTTTCATATATATTTTTTTTTTACTTTTCAGTATTATTGTATACCTTTGTTTTGTATACCTTTTACAGCGTTATGATGCTTGTTTTGTTTCACAACAGAAAATATAGAAGAAAGTATGTAAATTTGGAAATACAACATGTTTGTTTTATCTAAAGACGCATTATGCCTCAGAAATGCGTAGAGTGGACAAACATGTGATTAATAACGTTTTAATATTAAAATTAGCGTTGATTTTGAAATAACTTGTGATAAAGGTAGCGAACATTAAAAAGGTGATATTTTGACTTCCAAACAAAATGGTTTAATCACTAGAAGTATACTAAATGTTAGAACGCAAAAAGAAACAAACAAATGAGCCGCATCACGACAAAATCAACATAGTGCGTTTGCGACCAGCATGGATCCAGACCAGCCTGCGCATCCGCGCAGTCTGATCAGGATCAATGCTGTTCGCTATCAGTTTCGCTACTTGTAATAGGCTTTGTAAGCGAACAGCATGGATCCTGATCAGACTGCGCAGATGCGCAGGCTGATCTGGATCTATGCTGGTCGCAAACCCATTATGTTGGTTTTGTCGTGACGCGGCTCATATATGGTCATGGAGTAGCTTTATGGAATCTGTAACAGAAGACCGAAAATAAAAGGTTTTGAAATATAAAAAAAATGATTGTCCTATTGAAGTTAATGGGTCTTTTATGAAGATTGTATGTGACGGGACATAATTTGAATTCATAAATAGACAAATAATTGGTATAGCAAAATTAAACGATTTCTAATACTTTCATTCAAGGTTTGTCGGTTTGAGTCCGTCGCAATGAATTGTGGGAGGTGCTGGATTGTTCTGCTGGTACTCGGATTATCACTGACACCCTGCACGGGTATACTGACTTCTTTCATTATTGTTTATGAATTTTATTGAAGCAAATATTTAGGTTAATCAACGTATCACAGAATGAAAATAAATGATTACTATAAAATAATAATTAATATATACATATAATATTTCAATATATGCGAATAAAAGAAAATCAAATATATGTAGGCCCTTACAGTAATAAACTGTTAAAAGTGGTTTTCAAATATTTACACAGTGTATACGTATGTACTTGAACAAGATATGATAATTTTAATTTATAATATGTTTGTTTTTTTTAAATATTTTTTTATCTTGTAAGGTTTAAAAGCTTTTGTTAGTTTTATATACATGTATTATTTTAAACAGTCATTTTATGAACAGCTCCGTTCGTGTATTTATTTATGCATAATTGTGGCATCCATATTCTTAACCATGCGATTATTTGTGTATGATTACAGGTTTAAGAATACTTCGTTTTGATTGGATCAAAATTTTGGTCAAAACTTGTTTATTTTATGAGTTTATGATAACGGTAATAATAAACAGTCATTCCTTTTTAAGATAACTCCCCATGCAGTAAGCTCACAAGTTTATAAATTATTTTTTTACGTAGGTGTGACGTACTACTGCCCAAATGCTTACGACTACACTCGCCATGATCCCTATGCCGACGGAATTCGAGTCAACACAAGGACGTCCTTGACCTTTCAGGTCAAAGGTAGGATATTTTGTACAATAATGCGTTTTATTGTGAAAGTGGATTGGTCTAGAATGGGTACATTTCCAATAAGTATTTAAAATATTGTTAAAAACATTAGATGTGCATATATATATTCTTATAAACTATAGCTTGATAAGTTCTTTTATATAGAGTGAGTTACGAATGTTAAAATATGATGAAAAGTTTATGAAATATTTTATTTTAGAACAATTTATTATCTGCTATACAAATATAGATCTTGAGCCGCGTCACGACAAAACCAACATAATGGGTTTGCGACTAGCGTGGATCCAGACCAGCCTGCGCATCCGCGCAGTCTGATCAGGATCCATGCTGTTCTCTATCAGTTTCTTAACTTGTTATAGAGTCTGTAAGCGACCAGCATGGATCCTGATCAGACTGCGCGGATGCGCAGGCTGGTCTGGATCCATGCTGGTCGCAAACCCATTATGTTGGTTTTGTCGTGACGCGGCTCATTTGTTGTTATGTCTGAGACTAACTGCTATCAATATAATAATTGGTTGTATTCAAGATCTTCTTTTATAGATAAATTCGCCTCTAAAATATCTTTACTTATTTAAGGTCCAGGGGTCGTTGGTGTCATCGTCGGGCAAGGTTTAACTTCTCCGTGATAATTGATATCGGACATTGAGTCTAACAATCTCACAATTTTCTTATTCTATAATTCGGAGACTGACGGAAAGGGCCGAAAAGTTGCGATTGTAAGTCAAATTGCCACATGTCTTAGTAGTCTGTTACTTGCACAGACACTGGTCATCTAGAAAAGCGGGTTAGGTTGACCGAACGCTGAGAAAAGAAGAAACATGCTGTTTTTTTTTTTTTAGTAAAGTAACTGAACTTTTATTTTACAGGTAGAAACGATGCTCATATTCTGCTACAGAACGACCGTAACAATTACAGAACCAATGTTATTGAAATTGTTATTGGTGGGTGGGGCAACAGCCAATCTGTGATCAGAAATAGTCAGCAAGGAACTAACAGAGTTAGCTATTCGGTGAGTTTTGTATTTCTTTTTACTACCGTTGATTTAGGAGGTACATTTTAAAATGCATACGAACCGAATTATGTTATATTAACTAAATAGAAATGCTACTGGTATATAATATTATGGGTTCAAATCTTTAATCTGAAATACCAATCAGGGAACCAACAGGGTGGAGTATTAGGTAAGTTTTATATCCCTTTTCTCTAAGATATAATTATGTCAAAGAGTTTAAGGTGTTCGGGGATAGTAGGTTCGAGCTATTCTACCACGTTTCCTTATATGTGACTACAAGCGACCTAGGCCTTGAATATTGCTAGAATCAAGTACAAAGAAATATCTTTAAACAAAACTAAGATTTATCTGGTAGTTATTGTATTCCAAATAGTTAGACTTGAAGCTATTTTAACACTGGTTAAAATTCGCTTCGCGTTTTCTGATAAACGTATGTTTAAAGGGAGACACGGGCAAAATTTTCATTTCTTCGTTTTAAATCTTTTATTCATTTCTTTGTAATTGTCCTCAAAATGAATGCGCTAGGCAGTCACAGGAACAAAAATTTATCCTTATAAAGAATAAAATGGTGGTTTCCTAACTTGACCCGCATGGGTCAGATTAGAGCGTAAGGATTTCACAATAGTTGTCACAGTTAACTCTGTAAACGTTAAAGAACATGTCAAATGAATGACTTAGACTTGTTTCAATCATACAATATCCACAATATCTGTTATTGTAACTTCCAGGGTTTGTTAAAGTTATGTGACTTGTTTTAAATCTACTTGGTGATTCTGTTGGCGTATAAATTTCGTTCCAAATAAATAAATATATTTACGCTTCAAACCCAAATTATAAATAATTTATACAAAAATTCATGCTGGGGCTTTAAAAAATGTCACTGTAGTATGATTTGAGTATATAAGATCATTTTAATATTTTTGTCATTAATTTGCACGAATATCCCTTGAACTGTTAAAAAGGATAAAATGACAAGTCTTTAAACGAAGGACTAGTAGTTCTTGATATCAAGAGAAATAAATGAGCCGTGTCACGACAAAACAGACATAGTGCGTTTGCGACCAGCATGTATCCAGACCAGCCTGCGCATCATCGCAGTCTGATCAGGATCCATGCTGTTCGCTATCAGTTTCTCTACTTGTAATAGGGTTGGTTAGCGAACAACATGGATCCTGATCAGACTGCACGGATGCGCAGGCTGGTCTGGATCCATGCTGATCGCAAACCCATTATGTTGGTTTTGTCGTGACAAGGCTCAAATGTAAAACGTAGCTGTTTCAGAGTGTTCAACATTTTTTGTCTTTATCTTTTTCAGGGTTCAGTCCTAAGCTCAAGCTCTTATCGTTGGTTCTGGATCTCGTGGGGCGGCGGATGTGTACAGGTAAAAATGTCTTTATATTGATAATAATACATCTGTACCAAGCGATCATGGGTTCGAGCTCTTAGAGCTCATAACCACGTTTCCGGTTTTATTAACATGCCTGGGTAAGGATTATAAAAAACTACAAACTTTAATGATAACTGAACTTTATTTACGTAGACAGACAAATTTCAAACACAACTCAATGAAACAGTATCGTTGCGTTAATCCAAAATTAAATGAATAAATAAATACGTAAATAAATAATAATAATAATAATAATAATAATTATTATAATAATAATAATAATATAGCATATAATGATTATGATAATGATAATGATAATGATGATGATGACAATAATAATAATAATAATAATAATAATAATAATAATAATAATAATAATAAAAAACAAAAAAACGTCATACAAATTCAACAAAGCATTTTATAGTTAGTCTTTCATGCACTGTTACTAATATTGTATGACTTTAGGATAAAGTATAAACAAACATTATTACTTGAAACAGTATCTTTTATTTGTTTCAAAAGTGAACAAACACTTTCAGGTTGGAAAGGGCAGCTCAATAGGTTCAAGCAGAATTATGAACTGGTGCAGTTCGATCCCCACTATGAATGGTGTACGTTTCAGCTTCGGATTCGGCAGCGATGGATACTTTCTTTTTGAGAGGGCTGGTACGACGTCACATTTTAACAAAATTGTTTAACGCAAATACAAATAGAGATTCATTTTACGGTTTATATGGCGTAGAATAATCGGTTGAAATTTTAATGGCCCGGGAAGCACCGTTATTCCCTGCGGTCTGGAGACCGCAGGGTATTGGTACGCGTTTAACTTTTGAGGCATGGAGGAGCACGTGACCTGTTTTCGGTACATGGAGGAGCATGTGATCTGTAAACCGTACATCATTGGTTAATTGACCTTTTCGAAAACCTAGCTAAATACCGTTTTGACGGTACGTTACGGATTTACCTGTAGGGAATAAGTCCGAATTACAACTTATTAAGAACAAAAAATTACGTGATATTTCTAATTTTCTATAATTATTTTACCGTTTAAGGTGGAAAAACTTGAATGATGTGTTTGAAAATTATCAATGTTTCTTTGATATCTATCTCAAATTTGACAAACAATAAATTGTTTACACTGAAAATTTACAAAATTAAAATATTCATAGGGGCATCTGCCATAAAAATAGAGATATTTTCTGCGTAAACTTGTGTGTTTACTTTATTTATTTTTTGTTGGAATTATTCATAAAATGGTAGGCCTATTTAATCATTTTCTTAAAAAGAAATAATTTTTTTATGTTCGACCAAAGACCTTCTTCTATATTGAGCGTTTATTCAACTGTCAACTATATTCCTGATAAAAACGTTTATTTATCCACCCCAAATAATGTTGAAAATAGTTAAATGAAATATCTGTATATCATTAAAATGGTCACCGCAGGAAACCATTTTACTTGTAGTTATCTAGCAAAGAGACGGTTTTCTAATACTGCGCGTTTGAAACATCGCTTTTAATTGGATAATCGTGACGTTTATATAGTTTTATACGCTCGGCTGCTTTCAATTTATGAAGAAATCACACTTTTTGCCCTACAAAAGATGCTTGCTCGGGTTATATTTCTAAACAACCGTTTATATAGGGTCATATAACCTGTCAAAAATATTTATAAGAAATAATATACACGGCAATATAACCTAAAGAGAGTCTTTATCATTAATTAATGATACTGTACATTGGGGAGGTGAAAGGGGAGGGGGGGGGGGGGGGGTAGTAAAATTACATACAGTAACAACTCTTCTAATTCCGTTTTGACAAGCATATTATCTATCATAACAGTGTCGTATTTCATTTAAGTATGGGTAGAGACATGTTGTATAATTTAAACATGATTATAAATGACTCGTTCCATTAGAGTTTATGTTATGTACAAGCATCTTTTAATGATTCCAAATAGAATATTTAAATGTTTAAATATGATTGCTTTTAGTAAATGGTGGCTGGTCTAACTGGGGTAGCTATTCTAGCTGTCCTGTCACGTGTGGAACTGGGTCAGTTACAAGGTCAAGGTCATGTAACAATCCAACGCCAGCTCATGGAGGAACAACCTGCTCTGGAAGTGCTACTGAAACTGGCACGTGCACGAAACCTGCATGTCCAAGTATGTATACCAATATGTTGTTTTTTTTGTTTTGTTTTTTGTATATGAAGTACGGAGAGGGATGAAGGGGGCTGAGGTGGCTGAGTGGGGGAGGAGGGGGAGGAGGGGGGGGGTTAGTGATGCTCATAGTACAATCGTTGTTTTCAATATAGTTTTCGTTGCATGTATTTTTATATTTTATTTTTCACTTTATTTGTCAAATCGTGCATCGTTTTCCCCGTATGGTCCGATGTAAGATCTTAACTTGAAGCTGTACAAATTTAATGTTAACAAAATTAGCAGGTCAATTGTTAAAACTAGCTTTAAGTAAGACATGGTAATAAAGAAACGCTATTTACTTTATTGACATGTTATGTTTACCGTTAAATATACCATTGTTTCAGAAACATGTGCTGAAGTATACTCGAGTGCGAGTTCACCCCCATCTAGCGGCACTTATACACTTGCTAACGCTCAAGGACAGCCATTTAGAGTTTACTGCCTATTTAAAAGCGGTTATGGCTACGCTTTTATCTCAAACACTATAAATGTGGACCCAAACCTAGCCCAGCTGTTTACCCAGAAGACCGAGGTTCTTATAAGACACAAACGCACGAACGGACTGCAGTACGACGCCACAGCGGCACAAATCACCCGCTACTCGAGCAAGAATCTTGGCGTTTTGTACAATTCATATTCAGGGTATACTGAAATGCAGAATGGTCACATGACCCCGTATCTGTACGTCGGTTTCGTACCCAAGGCCGGAGTCAGTCATTACCATGACACGCAAGGATGGAGAGTCCAGGGGAGAGATTTTACATTTCAGAACTGTGACGGCAACCCTAACAGTTACTTTACACTGTTGTATAATAGTCAGAGAAAAGCCTATGGAAGTTATTCGCACGGGAAAACAGATTTATTGCACGTGTGGTACGATTATGCGACCGCTACTAGCACGGCAGACTACATTCCTGACGAATTTTTCGCTAGCCAATTTGAGATTCATTTCGGTGGTTGTGGTGGCTATCAAACCTCGACCAGCTTTACCGGTGTGGCCGGCGCCTCTATTGGTCTGAAATTCAGTAAGTTATTTATAAAGAGACTTGCGAAGTTTGATGGTTATTATGGTGTATAGATTGCTCAAAGAGAACGATATCGTTTTTTGCCTATGTATGTCCATGTATGTCTAGTTGGTATTACAAAACTGAGTTATCTTCTAAAATGTTGAGTTACGCCTTTATGTTTGGTCACTCTATGTAAGTGCATATCATATGTCCGATGTATGGCATCAAATTTTGTATTTAAATTATGATCTTGGACGTATTGAAAATAACTTACGTTACATTAAAAATTTCAACTTTAGAACGGAACCAAATTAACTTTTTGTGCACTTATGATCTTTATGTTGTTTACTAACTTTATTGGAGATGTCATCAGACCTCTCCATAGTGTTCAGACTGATTGCTGGCGGCATCCGTTTTGGCGTATCTGATTGTAGTGAATGAATCTCATTTTAAGCGTAAAATCATTAGGAGCAGTCTACAAAAATTGTTTTGCGCATGCCCCGTTTCAAAATACGGCTTAACTTAAACGAAAAATTAACATCGAAGTGAAAAAATCGGTACATAGAAAAATCGGAAAATATCATTTACGTTACTGAGCACTACGTGGACGTTTCATTCCGTTTAATCTTTTAAACTTTATAAATCGATTACCATATTGTTTTCTGAATAACGTTTTACTATTTCATGTTCCGATAAATAGTAACAGTGAACATTACAGCTACAATATCAACATGTACTATATATTCCGCCTCCGTAGTCGAGGGGTTAGAGTCGATGACTTCTAATCCAGTTACCTCTCTGGCGTGGGTTCGATCCCCAGGAGATGCTTTGGTAGTTTAGCGCGGAGGAAGGTTGTGTAGTACTGGTGTAACTCTCCAGGAACGATGGTTAGGAAACTACCCGCCTATATGACTGAAATACTGTTGGGAAAAGGCGTAAAATGAAACAAACAAACACTATTATATGACCGAGTGAACCGTGTATTGAACCGGTATGTCTGAATAACGCAAAGGGAAATAAACAGTATATAACAGTATAACAGTATATAACAGTGTATACTGTTTATTCCAATCAAATGATATTAACATTTTTATATAAACCCTGGACTTAAAAATGTTTGATTAACATACTTTATACCCGTTTTGGAAAATGTAGAGGAAATGTTTCCTTATATTTAACAAAACAGTGACCGAAAATTTGCTTATTGAACTTTACAAGAAACTTTTATTTTGATACTACTTTTAATATGTATATATACTTTTTCTACAAAGGAAACTGAATTAAAATACCAATGTAAATGATATATATCATTTAATTTACATTAAGTAATTTTACATTTTTTTTGTAGAAAAAGTATCCCTAATGCGCCAAGAAAAAAGTCCATTTCTCCGGCATATAATTTTTTAAAACATTAAAAAAGATGAAGTGTAAAACAAACTTTCATTGCAATATATATAATAAATTCTATTTTGTTTAATAATTGTAATTTATAACCAATCATTGTGTCTTTTATGCCATATAATATCCCCAAATATTTTCGAATTAAACAAATCTACCACAGCAGCAAAAATACCTCTCGCATGCTTCTTTTTAAAGAAGCAAACTTGTAAGATTTGTGTTGAATATTTCTCTTGCATTTACCCCATTTCAGTATTGTCATGTGGAACACCGGCGACAATTACTTCCGGTTCACGTTCTCTTACCGGAACAAATCCTGGAGATACCGTCACGTACAGCTGCAATGCCGGGTACACAATTACAAGCGGAAGTGCCTCACGGACATGCAGTGGTGGTGTTTGGAGTGGGAGTCAGCCGACCTGTGGAGGTAATTATATATGAGAAGTTTTTGATATCATGTAACTGATAGGGAACAGTTCGTCTGCCTGTCTACTAGCACGTGGGTATACGACAAGATTCGTAAGCATATTTCTTAATCTGTGAACCAGTATGGCCTATTCGAGGTTGTTTCATATCACCTCCAAACTTTTCTTTCTATTTGGTTTATTAATAAACATATCAATCTAAACGTAATAAATATGCACATTTTTCGTTTATTTGTTTCTCTTTCACTGTCATCGGGCTTTATGTCACCCGTAATGCCGCATTAATGCTTTCGTTTTCATGTATCTTCATTGGTACAGGTTCCAAAAAATACTCATTTGCCATACACATGAAATATCTTTTGTTTTTTGCAATTACTGTAAGTATAATGAATTAGTCTTTTGTATGGAAGTCAAAATACTAATTTGTTTAAATTTTACATTTTGCTACCTTCACGACGCTTTACTGCCAATATGGTGCTACTTTGTTCAGCTATAAAAAATCCATTATTATGATATTGTCAAACATCAGTCTGTAATTTTTAAAGAATAATGAATAATATGATGTTTAAAGCATAATGTGCCTATAAATGCTTGCCTGTAGTAAGCGTCTAAAAACATCATTATACTAAGGTGTTTAATTTGGATTATGTCAATATAGGTTAATCGTTACTTATGTAACATTCAGTGTGACCTTATTACACTTATGAATTAGTAAGTTCAAGGTATTTATGTTATTTTATAACTGTTTTATTTGGCACAAACAACTTAAAACTGTAATCTGTCTGTTGAATTGTGAAGGATAAATGCAAGTCATTAAATATCATTATTAGGTCAAAGGTATTTACTTTTTGCATTTATTCCAAGGCGCTTGTACACGTTCCTGCGATAAGATAATATGTTTCTTATGTTAAATAATACTAATTATTTCGCGCATGCGTAGGACTGACAGATGCTCTACGGAAAATTGTAAAGTAGCTCAATTAGCGAAACTTAATTTATACATGTATTAAAAGTCATTTGAGAGCTATTTTTTATTCTAACTTAAAGAGAGTATAGCTGAAAACAATTAAATAATAAATAAATGGAACAACTTCAGGCTGTTACTTTATATTATCCTATATTATCCTACGTGTAAATCGAACAGACATCGTTCACGACGAGGGATACTTTTAAACTATTTCTTGTCAGTCAATAACCTTAAAACTTTGACCTGAACGTCAAAACCTGGCTAATCTTATAAATAAGTAAGTGAAAGTTATGTAAACTATGATCAAGTAGCGCAAAGGTTAGATACTTGTAGCGCAAAGGTCATACAAAATATCATAATAGGATTATACAGCTGTTAAATTCAATAACATTTTGGTGTTAATCTTTCAAATATATAGTATAAGTCAAAAGTTCAAACATGTGTCTCATACTGAAGGTATATACAGTCAATTATTTTAATCGTTCAGCAATAATACGAGAGGCACAAAACTATATGCCAATACCTTCAAACACTTGTTTTTAATTAAAAACCTTATTACGTTCCCGAATTAATACTGAAAATTAATCATCACTGAAATGTAATATATAATACAACTAGAAGCTTTTATCTAACGTTAGAGTAGGTTACCCGATAATATCGTTAGGAACATTTTGATGATTGTACTTATAAAATTATGACATTGTATGTTGTGTGTATATCAATACAATTATATATTATTACATTTAAAAAAAAAAAGAAGAAAAAAAGAAAAAAAAAAAAAGAAAAAAAAAAAAACTTTCATTTTACTTTCTTTTTGCAGATATCAATGAATGCGCAAGCAACCCATGCAAAAATGGTGCGCAGTGTGTGAACGGTCAGAATAGTTTCACGTGCAACTGTGCTTCCGGTTGGACTGGTACTACGTGTACAACAGGTATATTGTCTTTGCTTCTATATAATAAAGTTTCTTTTATATCTGTTTGTTTCATACTATCTCTGCAATGCGTTTTGAGTAGAATATAAAGCAGTATCTACTTTAAAGGCCCATTATGTTTCAGAAAAGCATCACTTTTATATCTCAAAAACTGATTTTTATTTTTGGTGACATTTTATGTTACATTTTCCCCAAAAAATACTTATTTGCCATTAAGATCAACTATATGTGATCTCTTGCTTTGATTACAATTGCTAAAACAGTGAATTAGTATTTTGTATGCAATTCAAAATACTACCATGTTTACGTTTTATTCCCATTAAGACACATTACTGTAAACTTTAGCTGTTATTTAAATCCATTACTAAAACATTATTAAACAAATGTTTGCCAATTCCAACAAATTTTAGAAATAAGGATTCTGAGGCATTATGTGCCTTTAAGAGTCCCCTTTCTATTATAATGGTTAAGATATTAATGTTTCGATTTCTTTTACCTCGTATATGTTTTTGTTTTAACTTAGTATACTGTTCAAAAGTCAGGTAATAAAATGTAAAAATACCTGACGAAACAATATATTGTTTCATGATTTGCATAATTTTTGCATTGTTATTACACAATACACTCGTAATTTTCCCCTTCCTGCTAACTTGATATACAAGGTGAATATGGAACAAGACTTTCTAAAATTTCAAGCTGTAATAAACGTGAAACTTTGCCCCTTTGAACTGTATGAGTTAACAATACGATTTATTTCTCAGAAAAAGTATTTCTCAAGTTTACTTATTTAACAATTTAGATGTTAATGAATGTGCAAGTAACCCATGCAAGAATGGTGCTGCATGCGTGAATGGAGCAAATAGATACACCTGCACATGTACTGCAGGATGGTCGGGAACAAATTGTGACACTGGTGAGTTAAACAATAATAAAATATATAAACATGTTTTCTTATAATTAACTCAATGTGTTTGCTGTTGTTCTCAATGTTATTTTACCTGTCTCTTTCAATAAAATATGCTTTTATTGTAGTAAAGAGTAAAAGTGAAGCAGAAATAAAACTTTGTTCACATATTCCGTGAAATAAATATCAACATAACTTTTAAAGCTGTGCCATATTTGTATGTTAATCGTAATGTAGACAATGTTTATAAGTTCCCAACACACCAATGAAATAAGGTTTTTACCTTTATTTTTCATTTACAGATGTCAATGAATGTGCAAGTAATCCATGCAAAAATGGCGCGCAATGCACGAACGGGCGGAATCAGTTCACGTGCACATGCGCTTCCGGTTGGACTGGAACAACATGTACAACAGGTGAACTTTAAATAACGTTTGGGGAAATATTCATTCTCAGTCTTTGTGTTTGTAATTATCATCTTCTAAATTCGACAATTGATATGTCTTACATATATATGACCAGAAATGAATCGCAGTCTTGTTAACCGAGCATTCGATGTGTCAATACATATGAAATATGAGGGGAAACAATTTTAGTTAAATGTATGTAAGTATTCATTGATTTTTGTTTATTTTCTTTTAACACTGTGGCACCGTTACATGTCGCAATGACGCCTTATGTCGCACTTGTTGGTAAATGTCTCACTATTGCCGCTAAATGTCGCAACCGCCGCTTAATGTCCCTTACCGATAATTTTCACAGCACTACCGTTATACATGTATGTCGCAATATTTAAGCGGCGGTTGCGACATTTAACGGCAAGTGCGACGTTAAACGTCTTTGCGACATATATCGGCGCCACAAACACACTTATCATATTTATAGTGTTGTATTTCTTTTGATTTTCTTTCGCAATTAATGCAAATCAGACTTAAAATAAAGGAATAATGAAGATCTTGGTACATGTATTTTGTACGTTTTGTACGAGTTAAACGTTTCTCTTTTAAAGATGTCAACGAATGTGCAAGTAACCCGTGCCAGAATGGTGCCACGTGCAACAATCTTCAAAATCGATACACATGCACGTGTACTGGCGGATGGCAAGGAACAAATTGCGACCAAGGTAACAGTAACAACACAACTATTTCTTATTCTAATTCTCTTTTCAAAGTAAATGGGAAAAATTCATGTTAAAAGTTTCACTGGCAGATTCTAAATGACAACAACATCAACAAAAATACAAAATGACGGCGAGTCATAGTAGTTTATCCATGTAGATATTTTTGTTATTTACCATATTTTTGTTAGCGCTAGGTATAGAGAATGCCGAAATTTTATGTGTTTGAATTTTTATGCTAGAATATTCTAATCTATCTGTGCATATAAATTCAAGGACTTATTTTTCATCCGTGTAACCTTAGAGGAAGGACACCAATAATGTTGCAAAAGCTTTTGGCACAATCCTGTATATATTATATATAAATGTAGAAAATGTTAATTCATACATGATGTATTACTGTTGATGTACATGTATGCAAGGGAATAATATGAAATTAATTTGTGATACTAAACAGTTTCATTTGCAAAATGTTTATTTACAAATAATGCATTCACCAATCTACTTCTATTTAAAAGTGGTGTTGCCAAGAAATTGTTAATGGTGCGGAAAATGTTTAGATAGTTTAGAAATATTTATGACAATGTCAAATGTCCTGTCAAATAGTGTATACATTTGAAATAAAACCTTCATTAAACAATTATATGACATAAATGGAAAAAAAAACCATTTACACATGAATTAGTATACATGTACATAAATATACAATACAATACATTATTCCGTTGAATCAGCTATTCTGATTAACTTCTATTGTTATTAGTATTGTCAATATTCAAACATTGTTATCATTTTTTAAACAGATGTTAATGAATGTGCGAGCAACCCATGCAAGAACGGTGCCACGTGCACTAACGGAAGAAATATGTACACGTGCACGTGCGCGGCCGGCTGGCAGGGAACTAATTGTGACCAAGGTAAAATATTTTTAACTTTATGTCGGCGATGGCCCTTGATTTAAGAAAATAAAACATTGTTTTTTTCTATTCTATAAAAATGATTTAAAGAAGTCCCCACAAGACTGTGAGTTTTCCTTTCTTTAACTTCATGGCATGATATTTCACAGACTACACGGACAATACTAGTATATTCTGGATATCTTTTAACATTGTAAATATTGGGTACATAAACGTACAATACTGGACGTGCACCCGTCAATTCACTATTTTTTTAAAAAAAGAAATAATGTAAAATACATGTATTGTATGCAATAAAATATTATTAAACTAAAATGAAATATCAATTGCTTCACCAGACATCGATGAATGCGCGAGTAACCCATGCCAAAACGGAGCCACGTGTCACAATCAGCAAAACCAATACACGTGCGAGTGTGCAGGAGGTTGGACTGGAACACACTGTGATCAAGGTTTGTCTATAATCTATTTATGAACAATTTTTGCTCTCTTTCTTTCTGAAGATAAGTACATATTCATATTTGCATAATTATGTCATTGAGCATTACCATGCGTCCGTCATTCAAATAAATTGTCCAATGGCAACACTCGTTATGATTTCGTGACTTTCCAATGTACATGACTGTCCTTAACATCATTCGGGCGCCTGGAAAAACAGGGCTTGCAACATTTTAGTCATCGCAAGCGGACCATTGGATTGTATTTCATCAAGAGGTTCATGTAAATGAAAACATTACATAAAAATATTGAACTGATTTGAACTGATACTGAAATCAAGTACTTGTACTCAATTGTAATAGTATTTGACTAAGATAATCCGTTTAAAGGTCTATTTTTTTTCGGAGAATGTTGTGCTTATCCTAGCATCGATGTCGCTGTCACATCGTGATGTCACTGTCGACGTCACAGTTATGTTATCATTTCTATTAACATTTAGCTCGGTATTTATAAGACTTATCAACACAAAACAATATGTATTAATAACTATGTGTAAATTTGACAATTGTTACTTAACATATAACTTCATAAATACTCAGCGAAAGCAAGATTTATGTTTAAAAATGTCTGAAACCATGTTTGTTCCATTGAATCTAGATATCGATGAATGTGCGAGCGACCCGTGCAAAAACGGTGCTGCGTGTACAAATGGTCAGAATCGATTCACGTGTACATGTACTGGAGGATGGACAGGCACTGACTGCAACACAGGTAATATGTTTTGAGATTTATACGTTTTTCTTCACTTTAAACCTGACTTGAATTTAATCCAATTTTGTGGTTGTAAGGTAACAACAATTAAGAGTGATTGGTGTAAAAATATGTGCACCCTGGTAAACGGAACAAATGCTTTATACACTTATTAGAATTGAAACGTATTACAGTTTTTTTTCTTTCAGGTAAACAACACTGTCATAAAACTTCTACATGATATGGCCATTCACGAAGTGTTACCATGCCAATGTTTAACATGTTTCATGTTGCTTTTCAGATGTAAATGAATGCGCGAGTAACCCGTGCAAGAATGGTGCCACTTGTCACAATGGACAAAATGAGTACTCGTGCACGTGCACGGGTGGTTGGCAAGGAGACAACTGTGATGAAGGTTTGACGTATTTATAATTTTGTAAAATTGCAAATAATAAACGCTAAATTAAAGAATATAAAATTACTATGATACTTACAATTTAAGTATCATATGCGCACAGTACAACTTCTGCAGCAGTTTATGGCTTTCTATTTTGGTAGATTAGTTTGATAAATGGCCAAGCAGAAATAATACATGATACTGAAACATATGAACAAGCATTTGATTATAATGTTATTTATAATACTGATTTATGAAAATAAATGAGTGACGGTTTGTTGTGTTTCTTTCTCTTACATATAAAAACTATCTAAATACTGAATGTTTCTTTTTCGTGTAAGTCGTAAAAACTGACGTACAGTATAACGTAATACTTTCACCTCTACGTACGATATATTAACGTAACTTGTTTCACTTACTTCAGATATAAATGAATGTTTGAGCGACCCGTGCAAAAATGGAGCCACGTGTAACAACTTACAGAACAGTTACACGTGCACATGTACAGGAGGTTGGCAAGGAACTGATTGCGACATCGGTAAATTATTTGATTTGTGGATCTGAATAAAAGTATAAAACGGCTTTATCTTAATCTCGGAAAACAAAAAACAAAAGTACAGCACTAATCAAAGCAAATGTTAGGTATTTGAAAGCGATTTCTATCACTTATCATTAATGTCCCGATAATATATTAATAATTATAATTATTTTCGGATAAACTATTTGGGATTCTTCAAAAAAAAATCATTCGAAATTTGAAATATATATCATGTAAATAATGATTGTAAATACCGTTATTTTGTCCGATTTTATTTTAGACATCGACGAATGCGCGAGCAATCCATGCCAGAATGGAGCTACATGTCTAAATAACCAGAACAACTACGAGTGCGAATGTGTGCCTGGATGGCAAGGTGTTAATTGTGACAGAGGTAAAACACTTAACAATTTAGTTAGAAAAAAATCCTTATAAATTCGTCCTCTTTTACTTCAGTCAGTCATCTCAACAAATTTTAGAAAGCGTCTTTTTGTTACGGTCTGGTATTGATCAATGTCACACGAACGCTTGTTCTTTAATTGAAACGGAATCTGGCTAGGAAAGCATAAATGTGTTTATAATGTTACAAACATGAAAATTCAAAAACAAATAAAAAAAATATTATAACTGTTACGATTTCTAGTCGATTAGAAGAAACAATATATCTAATATTTAATAACAAATGGCATTTAATTAATACAAGAATTATGATAATTTTCATTGGAATAATAAGTTGAGCTAATTTCTTCAGATATTGACGAATGTGCGAGCAACCCGTGTCATAATGGTGCCGCGTGCAACAATTTGTTGAATGAGTACACGTGCGATTGTACCCCTGGTTGGCAAGGGTATGACTGTGATCAGGGTAAGCTATTTGATTTGGTGAAAATAAAATGTTGTTATCCAGTCTTTAAAGCAGATATAAGTTCAATCATATAAATATTATTCACTAAATATAAAGAAAAAAAATGATTTTATAAACCTAGTTAAACGTTTGTCTATATCGATAACGTTTTTTACAGAATTAGAGAGTTTAAAATTTGTTTGCAGATATTGACGAATGCCTCAGTAGCCCGTGCATTAATGGCACGTGCACAAATTTACATAATGCATACAGATGCACGTGTTTCCCGCAGTATACCGCCAAAAACTGTGACTACTGTAAGTAAACATTACATAATTATTATGTTTTTCTTTTAAATAAATGTTTGCCAAATATCATGTTTGCCAAATATTTACGAAATATCTTAAAGGTTATATGCACGAGATAAGTTTCTATCCCAGACTATCTGTAATCGGTGGGTTTGTACAAAAAGTACATGTAAAGAATGAATGTAATCGCTGTCCGATTATCTTTTGGTTAGGACTTATTACTAAAGTACGGTATTTCGTTTTAAACATACGCTACACTGTCTTATATTGTATATAAGATGACTTACATTTATAAGTAAATTCATGCCATATTTCGAGTGTTGTCAGTTGTATTCTAAAATTTATTCTTATTGTCAGACAAATGGTAAAATATTATAGAATGGCATAATTATATTTTGCAACGTCATATAAATACATTTGTTACTCATTATATTGTCAATGCAAGTATAAGACATTACGTCATGGCTTACATCAGAAACCACGTGGTAGAACTACTTTTCATCCGTATTATTTCCGGGATGAATACTAATACTGGGCGAGGCGTTCCAAATGGATTGACTTTGGAATCCGATAAATATTGTGGCGCATGCGCATCGCTAACATTTTATAAGGAAATGTTTTATTTTGTATTCTTTTTTTTGTGTAACTACCCTAAAGAAAATAAAACGATCGTCATTATACATATTGTAGAGAGTTTCACCACTTATAATTGAACACTCTTTTTAATTTCAAATAGTATTATGCATATCTTAATTATCAGTAATATCACGGAAAAAGTAAAAGAAAAGGGCATCTCTTATATACTTTTAAAAAAGGATATTTTTGTTGTTGTCGCAGCATAAATTTTCCGAGTTTACGAATACGATAACATTTATGTACAGTGATCGGCTCTCCTATGGACGGACAGTGGGGACAGTGGGAGGCATGGCAGGGATGTTCAGTGACGTGTGGCACAGGAAGACAGCGCCGGTATCGAGCCTGCGATGACCCGCCACCAGATTATGGTGGCCAACCGTGTGTCGGGGACTCTTTTGATGAAAATGTTTGTTCAGGAGCCGGTTCATGTCCAGGTAAATAATCTTAACATTAACGATTAAAAATTTAATTAGTTTGCCATATATGTAAGCATATACATGTATTGTTTAGAAGGCACGTCTCCATGTAACTTAAATGCATAACTCGAACATAGACAAGCAAGTGATAAAATGTTTTCTAAATATAGATCTGTTTCTTTTATTAAATGAACATTGCTCGGTTCGATTTATGTGGAGCGAAGTGATTTAATATAACATTTTATATTTATCCTGAAAACAGTACCAGTCGATGGAAACTGGGGCGCATGGTCAGTTGCTGCCCCGTGCAGTGCTACATGCGGAACAGGGCATTCGGTCAGAACGAGAAAGTGTGACAACCCTGCCCCAAGTAATGGAGGAAGAGTTTGCACTGGGGACGCTATGGTAGTTGAACAGTGCACAGTGACTGCATGTCCGGCGTCCGGGTCGTCAAACGGAACTGGGTCAGGGTCATCCAATATGGGAGCTAATTACATAAATGTAAGTGATTGATTATTTTTTTGTTATGTAAGAACATTATCATATGATTATGACAACTTGTTAATTCGTTATATAAAATCTCTAGCCAAGATGCAAACAGGATTTCAATTGATCAAAGAGTGGTGTAAATACTTATACACATATGAGTTTATTCACAAGTAAGTAATATATTGGTATATAAGCAATGTTAAATTGAATATGAAATGTACATATGTTAAATAGGTTTATGTTCATTTGTATGTTATTTAAACTTAATGACATGTTTTCACCAAGAAACGTTCATTTCAACAAATGGAGCAATATGTCATATTTACATGTAAACAATACAACACATAGGTATAATTTTCTTCAGTTTATGTGTGGTTTTCTAAGGTTTCTTCAAATGAATGATATTTTTGCTTAATATTTTATGATAATGGATCTCGCCGTTCCTGAAATTAAAGCGTTCATTGCAGTTAACAATAAAATTTCAGTAAAGTTTAATCATTTGTGTCTGAGGTCGTTGTACAGTGGACAGTAAATCAAAACTGCACTTCATTTTCAACAACATACACATTACATTTAAAGCAAAATGAACGAAACGAAACGAAATTCTATGTCAATGTTTAAGTGGCTTTCTGATTCAATTTTTAAGTCATCGCCAAATTTGCTACGGCACGTTTACATACAATGTATATATAAGGCATACCCATTGACAGAAATAGATGTTTTATACATGATGTCACTTGTAATTTTGGCAAAGAATTAATAAGAAAACAGTCCTAAAAACAAGGACTATGTGTTCTATTATTTTACGCAAAATACCATATTTCAATTGTTTCCATTCTGAGTCCCACAATCCATGAATTCATCAATTTATGTATACCTAATAGTTTTCTTTCATTTAAAAGTAGAGCAGAACGTCAAAAAAGTCAATGAAAAGTATTCAGATAAAAAGTTTTTTTTATCTTATTATCTAATTGTAAATAAAATAGCATAGGTATACACAAATTTTGGTGAATACGATGTTACATGACGAATATGAAATGAAATATTTAAGGTTTGTCCTGTGGGTTGGTTAACGTGCGCGTCAGGCTCAATCACGTGCATAGACGAAGCATTTAAGTGTGACTGCGTTCCTGACTGCGATGACAGAAGTGACGAAACCGAACTCTGGGCTGGTTGCGACCCGACTATGATGCAGCTCTGTTCAGCAGCTCCAGGTATTGTTTTAAACACATGGCATTGTTTAATGTATTGTTTTTTAACGCATGTTATAATGCAGTATATTGTTTTGAACACATGTCATAATTCAGTGTATTGATTGAAACACATGTCATAATTATTTGCATGGTTTTTAACCCATGTTATAATTCAGTATATTGTCTTAAACAATGTAATAATGCAATGTATTGTTTTAAACCCATTCCATAATTCAGTGTATTGCTAAAAACACATGTCATAATTCAGTGTATTGCTTAGACCACATGTCATAATTCAGTGTATTGCTTAGACCACATGTCATAATTCAGTATATTGCTTAAAACACATGTCATAATTTAGTGATTGTTTTAAACACATATAATTTTTCAGTGTATTGTTTTGAGCACATGTCATATATCAGTGTATCATTTTGAACACATGTCATAATGTAGTGTATTGTTTTTAACACATGTCACAATTTATTGATAACAATATGTTCCTTTTTCAAGACATAACTGCTGTATAAAATTTAATGATTGATATAAAACACAGTTGCTGCTGAAAAAGAATGTAACTTTTTATAAAGATAATTTATTTCAGTGTTTATTTCCACAATGAATAAGTATATATACACATGTATATGTATAATATCTTTAAACGTTGCACTTAAACTTACTTAATTTATCTTGTAACTTAATATTTCTGTTTTGTAAAAGTGCATTTCTATGTCTTGTTTCAGTATTAAAGCACGGATGGTTGTTGGCAGCCAGTATTGTCTGTCTGGTACAACTTGTGATGAAATTATTCTGAATTTACAGTGAAAATAGTGGCAGCTTCATAATGTGTGTGTATTGTAACAGTTTCCCATTCATGTTTTAGAGACTAGTGATTATCATACATTGACTAGGAAAACGATACATGCCTTACATTTTTTCTAAATAATAAAGAAAAGGAAAAAAGGAAAAGAAACATCATAGAAAGAGGAACTTCATCTAAAACTTTCGATAGAATAATAGAAGCTTATATCATTATGTATTCCTCTTTTTTGTCTGTAAAGTAACATAATACGACTATGTATGTTATATTTGTTTCAGTGTCCTAAACACTTTTGTTTATTAAATATGTTTAACAGAACATGTTCCAAATATTTGCATTCAGACTGAACTTTTAGATCGATAAGAATAGTATTTGACTCATTTTTCATCTTTTTTTTTACTAAGAATTGTCTACATTTATTCGATATATTTCCGATGTACAAGTGTAACCTCTGCAGAACGGGGCCTTTTATACAGCAACTACCTCAGTACAACAACAGTTTTATTTTTTGTTCTTAAAGTAATACTTTAAAAGTGATTTAACCTCTGTAGAACACCTCGTCTCAATAACAACCAAAATATTTACAATCTTAAGGGTGTTTCTATGCAGAGGTTGTACATTAAACGTCCATGTAGAGATGTAATCTACACTAGATTTACTTTATTGATGTTGTGTTATATCAATAATACTCGTATGCTTGAAAAATAAATTTTTGTTGCATTTGATATCTTTTAATTCATGCATATCGGTGATAATTGATGATAATTAGTTATACACAACGATTATACACAATTAGGATAGTTTTCCATTAATTCGAAGAAATAACTTTTCATCCAACCACTTTCAATTTAAAAGAGGCGAAATCTAAAAGTTATACGTATGTTTCTTGAAAAAGTCTTCACGTATAATTTACCGGAAGGCATGCCACTCTTGTGATGAATTAAGTTACATTTTATTTTGAGTTATTTCCCTTAACTTGAAAAAATTGTCTCTCCTTAATCTCTAACACGATCATTTAGTGTTACCGCCGATGTCAAGGCATGTCAGTCGGATATATCTAGTAAATAATTCAAAAGCTTATGAGATATAAACAAAAGACATACAAGCATTTGAAAATGTCAACACAACATTGGCATTTTTACACGATGATTTAGAACCATTTTCAAAATTTCAGGCTTTTAAACGATTTATAAGAATTGTAAAGAACATACAAGCTTTACTTCTTTAAATTGAACCTGAATTGTCTCTGATTTTTGAATACAATTGAAACTTAATATTTATTACAAGTGACTGTTGATTGCTCCAATATAACTGGAAATATATTCAAACTTTATTCTAAACAGTTTCTTTTTGTTATCATGGAATGGAACAGTTTTTGTCACGTAATCTGATAAACATGTTTTAAAACTAAACAGTAAGTATCAAACATCTGGTAAATTCAGCATTTTACACGATAAAAACACAGATATATATATGTTTCAATCCCTGCACGTTGTTTATATCTATCTATCTATCCATTTGTTACTTGGTCCCTCAGGATACCTAGCTGGTCAGTATTTCTATTTGTGAAAGGATGCCGTGTTGGCCTCCTTTGAAAAAGTTTGATTACGTTTTATCATATTTCAGAATATACATGCACTAACATCGTTGTGAAGTATAATGATTTAGTATTAATCTTCACGCCAGCATTTTTCTATGCTTTGATCATTTAAAATGTTGTTAGGAACTAAAATGATATACTTTACGCGTAAAGGTACCATTACAAATTATTAATTTCACTCAGCTTCGTTAATCATGTATTTGCATTGAACACTTTAGTGGTTGCAAATAGTAACAGTTTCCCGAAATTTATCAAAATCAAGGACTCATAAGTAGCCCAAGTATAAAATAGTAAAGAAAATGTTGAGCACAATCACAAAAATATAGTTTACATAAATACATAGTTCTGCTTTTCAAAGATAATACATGTTTTGCATTATATAGACAGATTTATTTCAATGTCCCTATACAATGTATATTATTCTGAAATTGTGTGAAAATGCAGTGCCACAAACAAAAAAAAGACGATTTGTTTTCAAGACAGACTTACGGAATAATGTAGCAAATAAAGAAAGGATGTTTACATTTACTCCCTTCAAAACATATTGCTATTTAACATACAGTTTTTCTAGGCTTAAAGCATTTGGCACAGAAAATTACTCCCCCCTGTTTTATAATGGTCATATGGTAACTTCAAGTTTAAGTTCTGGAGGAAGACCTTGCGTCAACCTTCCTTTACAATTTCAGACACAAGCGGGCACCTGACATGACGTTCTGTAAGCTACCTGGATAGATTTCTCACATGAAGTAATACAAAGTCTTGAAAAATTTGAAGCTTGATTGCAGTTTACCTATTATTTTTAGTATTAAACTCTGAACATGATATGTTCCCAAGAGTGATAAAAATATAGACAGGCGCAAATTGATCAAATTCCTTACCGTAACATGCTGCTGTATATTGTTTATAGAGTTAATCATGGATACAATCTGATTTATCAAGTTAACGTATTGTTCATCATAGCATTTCACTATAAATCTTTATTACATGACGTTCTCCTCATAGATCGCTAGACCAATAAGGGAAAACAAATTTAAAACATGAATTCACAATACAAGTCATTGTTACAAGTTGTTACTTTCATTTATTTTATTCTACATGACTAGAAAAAAAGATTAACATAGTGTAATGTAATCAAAGGCAAATTTAAAAGGTCAAAAATATTGAAATATTCTATTGCCGTGACATTAGTGAAGGCGTGAATTTAGTGACACTATATTACCCCATTTAAGGCTTATAAACAGCTATTTCTAAAGAAAAAATGAGTCAAGTAATAATAACAATAATACATATATTTTTATTATACATATATAATAATTAAAATAATAATAAAATAATAAATAATAATAATAACAACAACATGCTGCTGCTGCTGATGATGATAAAAACACAGTTCAGTAGAAAAACATAGTGTTATGATTATAGATGACCATACAAAACAGGCAAATTAGAAAATTTCTCCCCTGTACAGGTACTTGTAGCTTTATTAACAGAAATTGTACATGCAATTGTAGCTTTATTTACAGACATGACAACGTCAATGGGTGTTTGTGTTACATACCGTTTGATAGCAATTTACATTTATTCCTCGAGAAGTCCACACACAAAGGGCATTCAGTCTACAATGAATAATTCATATTGCGATAAAAGTCTATCTCTTGCATTTTAATAAATAAACTTAATTAAAACTTGTTAATGTGACATAATGTTTTGATGTCCGCGTTGTGGCCATGCCCCGTGGGAAATCAATTGCATCAGTGATAATAGTTTAATAGTGGTTAGTTATTTACTGTGCTGTACTAAGTAAACCAAATGGCATGTTTGCTTATGCATCGAATGTGGAAGTATTATTCCTACAGTAACACTTGAGTTACTAAAAGTTGGCAAAATCACTTCAGCAGTATCATTATACTAACCAACATACTGCTAGCTCATTTCAGTTGATATATCCAGTGATATGACACTCATCTATATTTAAGGATCTACGATTTGAATAATATCGTGTACAAAGTTTATTTCCATGTAACTAAAGAAATAAAAATATTACTATAAATGTATGTACTTCACTGTGATATTAGGTTAAAAAATACCCGAAAGCAATATAATTCTGCACCATAAAGTAGAGAACCATCCTCTGATGACTCAATGTTAAGAAAAGAAAGCCGGGTTCCGTTATCCAGATGCCCTTGATCATATATTTAGATTGAAAACTTCTTTGTGTTACTTTAATTAGCCCTTTTTTAACTAAGGATAACTTTAATTACATGTGATAGCTTTGTGTAAAGCTTTTAAGTAATTATTTAGCTTAATGAGAACAATTTTATCCTATGAATGGAGACAATCAATGGTTGCAAGATGAACAAATGTACTATGAAACTATAACAAGGCAGCCAATTAATCGTTTGATAAATCATTTGTACCAAAATCCACAAAACGAAACAATTCCTCAACATCATGTTAAATTATCTATATTGGTACAATTAAGTACAAATGCTAAATTTACATTTTTATCTCGTAGTGCTATTTTGAAATTAATGCCGTTGAAATTGGCAATAGGTGTAAAAAACATGACTGTGTAAGAATAAATCACAACAAGTATAACAAAGTTTATTATGACAATATACGATTATTTAACATAAACATTATTACACTATAACGTATGTATGTTTCATGGACATCACCGTGCAACTTACGTCTCTGTAAAATGTTAAGCAATGCCTGTATCAGACCTTGTGTCAATTTTGGTCGATACCACTGTTACACAACTTGCTTTCATGCACAAAAACCTGTATTTCTTATTTTATGCCTAGATCAGGTTAAACCACATTAAGCGACATTTCTTTAACGACTCATTTCAAAGAGGGGCAACGGAATATAACATTCACTGTGCAGTTTTACAAGCCATCATTCAATTCATTAATTCTATTTATATTTGCCTTTCCTCTTTTTGTTTATTGAACAATAGAAATTCTCAATTAGGTAAATATGTCAAGATTTGTCCGTACACAATACATTGCATGTCTTATTCAGGCGAAAGGTAAATAAATTGATTGACACTTAGGTCTAGACGGTAAAGATTGGATAGAAGAAAACAGGAACATCTATCATTGCCGAGAGAATGTAATACACTGTATTTCCGAACTATCGAGATTGTGAATTTTCTTTTAGGTTTATCTCGACTTCTAAGTTTTAGATCTCTAAGATGGTATATTTCTGATCTTTGAAGATCGTTCAGCACGACATAATTGTTGTGTTTGTGTTAATTTTAGTGTCTTCTATTTTACTTTTTTCTAGTTGAGTGGTTCCAGAATGCCTACCTGAATACTGAATAATCGCCCTTAGAATATGTTTCCTACTTTTTTACATTTGTCTTAAGACAGCCTGTCTGTTATAAGCAGGTTTCATATCCTCTGATCCCCTTTAAAGATTCAATTTAACTCAATATCGTTCAATGTAGTCTCGTTAATGACACATGCATTTTTCGTTGAAGACTACACGACGCTTTTGTGTTGAACGGCAATAATATGTCACATTGAAGGTTTCATGTTGTTAAGATACTTATGAAATTCATAAAATTTGAGAAATATTTCTTTAGGGCAGAAGAGAGCAATGTGAGCATGTTAACCACTCATCCAGCGTTGGGATGCTTCATAAAGTTAGAATTATTTGCCCAAACGAAAATGAATTTTGAAATTCCGAGTGAAGAAGCAATTAGTACCAATGAAAGTTAACATATCATTGTCTTCAATCATAGCAAATTCTTGATAGATAATTATTTATGATAATAAAGGCGAATATTTCGTTACTTTGATGTGCAAACGACAATCACTGCCTTGATAATACATGTCGCGAAATCATGTGACAAGTATGATTGCAAAGAATTTTAGATTTAGAAAAGAGAGACAAACAGAAAATTGTATTTTTCCAATCATTAAGAGTGTTAAAATCAAATTATTAACAGTTTTACACATTTGTTGACTCATCATTACTTAAAAACAAACATATGCTTTTATCACCTTCCTTTGAGAACGTTGACGTCGCACCACTTTTATTTTTAATTAAACACCCTGAACTAAGTCGCCGATATGAGTATCAGACGACTATTAGTTCATAACTTTTATTCAAATTAACTTAACTCGC